ATTGTTCCATTATTAAGTTATCGTGACACTTGCTGCTTCATTCATAATACAGCTACGAGGCCATAGAGTCTTCAGAATGGTTTCAAAACAGATGTTTCGAGGAAACTTGACTGTAAAACGTCAAACCGAGAATTTGTAATATTCCCACTGAGACAAACCTACAATACACACTCTCCACTCTTCTCATGTCTCGACATACCATGGATAATTTAGAATAATGAAGCGAAAACGATCTTTTAACTAGATGTCCATAGTTCGTGCACGATTTTTCTGGCCAAAAGAAATAATTTAGGAGCTGGTGGCTATTTTTTTTTCTTTTTTTACTTAGTCAAAATTGACTGTAAATTAACATATAAATTGGTACAGTTTTATTTATTCAATCTGCTGTTTACATTTCTGTGCAGTATAAAGATATAGCCAGTTAAGATGTGGCAAACTACGATGTCGTCCTCTAATCATCTGAACCTTTTGTATCTGTCTCATGAGTTATCACTATTTAGATTAAATACGTAGATCAATTGCAGTACAGTATAACTAAGGGAGCTTCTGGAACGTCACATTAATCTTTCTATATTCTCCCCGCTCTTCTGGATAACGAATCGATAAATAATTAGTATTATACAGTAATTTGTTGGTTAGCGTTTTAGCGTTGTTTTTATTTGTTTGTGAATTTTAGATACTGATCTGTAAACTCATAAAAGAATGACAATAATGTATTTTTTGTGTGATATGTTTCAGATCTTAATGTATAGTAAAATATGGTTGGAGTGCAAGACATTGATAGAATACCTGTCTGTTGTTAGCGTGATTCATATATCACATTATTAGCTGCAAAATACCGAAACGTTCACATTATAAACAATGGTTTTAAGATGAATTATATGTGCAACGTTTATGTTTAAAATCTGATTCAGAAAGAATGACGTAATACACGAGTAACTGCAAAATTAAGGAAAAAAAAAACAGGTTATGTGATGAAGAAAGTTTTAAGGGGAGGATCACGTGACTAAGGACATTTTCGTTATATTTTGCCTACAAGGGAAGAGACTAATAGTGCAATATACTGTACACGTAAATTATGTACCCAGTTTGGCTTTGATTGACACTTTAATCTTCAAGTTACCGATTTGTTCATTATCATTCAATTCTGAATGGGGTCCATACATTGCATCATATAAAATAATTTTATGCGTTTTGCCTGTTACAACACTCAGTGTACAAAACCGACCGAGAAAAATTGAGTTCAGTAACTAATTTTATACGCGTGTAAATACATTGAGGATCCCCAGCGGTAATTAGTGGGACTAACTACAGTACTGTTGGTATTTTTCTCTATTCTGTTTTACTTTCTACTCATATGATATTATGGACCCCTAACCAACAAAGTATGGACCAACAAGTAGCTTACAAAAATATGTTTAAAAAAGCCAGCACGGATCACATAGGTAATTCTAGGATCAACAGTTTATTTTTATATATTATTATTATACAGAAAGTGTAACTTCTCTCAGTATGCTGTTGAACTCAAAAGGTATAACAGTTTTATTCTTGAGTTGTATTAGATTTATCACATTTATATTGAAATAGAAACGTCTTAACCGCAATAAAGTCACAAAGCCAATAGCAGACTATTTTAAGTAATTGAATTTTGATGTCCTAGACGACTAGCGGATGTTTACGTGGGGTTTGTGCTACTGCATCTTCATGGGAACAAAATTTTAAGATGGAAAAGGAGTTGTTCTTCTTATGAGGAGAAGTCAAGGCAAAAGAACTGAAATGGAATGTTTTTAGAAGCAGAAAGAGTAATTATAGGGACAAAAAAAGGTTATTTTGGTTAAAGTATTGGATCATTAAACTTCTATCGTACCCATAAAATAATAATTTATTAATGAACACCACATAATACTCAAACCTTATATTCTAGATATGGAATTAAGTGTCTTGTCAAAAATATGATAGATTGTTTTAATTTAGCTCCTCTGTGGTTCCTCGTTAATACAACATTAGAATTGATTGCGGATAAACGATAGCGTTCAGTGTTTCGTTGTTACTGGGCTTAAATCCCTTTTTTTTTTATTGATTTTGTTAGTTTGGACGCATACTTTGTTAAACCTTCTAGACTAGTTGTAACGATAATCAAGCTTACAAAAAAAACATATCGAAGATTGCCAGTTATTATTCATTACTTATTTTATTCATCAATAATGATTCATTTTAATACACGGTAGTTATAACAAGGTGTAGACCTTTTTATGCAAATGATTTTTAAGTCCAGTCTAAAGTTTTCTAGTAGTGGACACAACCCAGCTTTGTTATCACGCACAAATGATGTTCACGATTTTTCTTAATTGGGTCGTTCCATAAAAAGAAAAAGAGTTTTAACTATTCTTTCAAACTTTGGAGTTTAATGAGAAGGGCACATAACTATTTCTGGAAAATAACTATCCTCTTTTTTAGCATTATTGAGATTTGAGACATGTTAGGCTAAATGGCGCCATGATTGAGACGAAGAAACATATAACGATTCAAATTACCCTAAATGTCAATATTTTCAAGTTATTAAGGCTGTAGAGAAGCCATCGGAGGCTGAAGTAGATGAATGAAAATCATTTCATGAAAATAAAATTCTCAGAAAATTGGATTCAGGGTCAAAAACTGTAAGATAATTGAACAAAATGGAGATCACAAGTTAGTCAAGATTTCATCAACTCGCCAATACGTTACTCTTAAAATACGCCACTTGTAAGATATTGCACTTAATGGCATTGATTAATACACGCGAAAGCTTACATAAATTTCCGAAATAGCATAAAGTATTAAAATTTATTTCCTTCAAAAGAAGGTGCCTTGATTATCTTAAATATACAGAATTATTATCTTAAATAATACGGAATGTATCGTTAATGAATAATTCAGTTTCTATAATTCAAGCAAAGTGTTTACAAAGGGACATGTAAAAGAGATTTACTCGTCAAGTCTTCAAATATACGTTATACCATTTATCTTATACATGGGAAATTGTTCATTTACAAACACCGTTATTTTGATTTATAATCGAACGTTATAGCAGACTTCCTAAAGTTCCTTCCAAATGATATTTCCCCTTGATCTCAAGCTATCTGCGCTAGCCGTCCCTAATTTAGCAGTGTAAGACTAGAGGGAAGGCAGCTAGTCATCACCACCCACCGCCAACTCTTGGGCTACTCTTTTACCAACGAATAGTGGGATTGACCGTCACATCATAACGCCCCTACGGCTGAAAGGGCGAGCATGTTTGGTGTTATGCGGATTTGAACCCACGACCCTCAGATTGTGAGTCGAGCGCCTTATCCACCTGGCCATGCCGGGCGTGTAGCTTTGTGCTTAATAACAAACAACAATCTTAATCTCAAAGTTTTAAATTTGCATATTTTAATTAATTGTTTTCATCGATTAGACGCCAAATACCGAAACGTTCACATTATATACAATGATTTGAAGATGATTTATACGTGCAACATTTATGTTTAACATCTGAATGAGAGAGAGAACGTTGTAATAAATGAGCATCTGCACATCTAAGAAAAAACAACAGGTTATGTGATGAGTGTTGTTAGCTTTATTGATACGTTGCCCTGTTTTATATTAAAATTACAGATAATTATATCGCGCTGAAATCAGATTGGCTTGTCAGATTTTATTCCTATATACTGCTCCAAAGGTCTTCTTCATCATGTACAGTTATTATAAAACATCTAAGAATGTATGCACAGTGAGTGTAAAGCTGATTGGATATACGATTAAAATGTAGTTAGCTCCTTACTTACAGATTTCGTTGCTGTACATTATGCCTTAACTCGTTGGTTCGCAAGGATTTCTAATTGCTACTTCTCATCAGGGTGGTAATAATTTAGAAATTATTGCCAGCTCATGCCTACGTTTATATCTTACTATGCTTTTACAATATGTTAACTAAATATATATAAATCAAGAAGAAGAAATATATATATATATGTACATATTCATATAGGACTAAGATAGAGGAAAGGGTCAAAACGTCCTGTTAAGTAGGACTCGCACAGCGTTAGGGATATGACGTCTATTAGATTTAACCTCTATTTGCAGGTCTCACATGTGAATAATAATAATATAACAACTTAAAAATAAATAGATGTACTTCACCACACAACTTCCATATGTAAAAACTACTATTCCCTATTTGTATTCACTCGTGGGAAGGTAGTTGCTCCTGATGAAACAGAATTATGAAAAGTAAAAATGGTTACTACAAGTGGACATTATGTCACATATTCATATGAATGGTATAATAAGAATAGAGATGTATAGATTAAAACAATCTATTATTAGAAGAATGAGAAGTTAGATTTCCCTTAAGATGTTAGATTAACAGTTCTTGTGCAAAGATTCGATAGAAATAACAAGCTGGAGACATCAACGTTTCGACATGCGCAATAATTTATTTGTATAAAGTTTAGCATATATTGTTTGCTTTTACTTTATACACGTCGAAACGTTGGTGGCGTCAGCTTATTATTTTTATTGAGATTTATTTGCCCTTTACATTTAAAAAAAAAAAGCACCAGTAAAAACACCACCAAACATGCACCCTCAAAATTATACTGTTAGTGTGTTGTCAATTGGACGAATGGGTTTGTTGTGTGATTTTATGTTTGAGACACGGACAAAGGAGTTTTATAGGTATATGTATATTTCCGTTTTTATAGCAAACTTTACCGTAAGGCTATTATGAGTACAAGCTATGTTTCAATTTCTCTTAGAAATAACTATATTTTCATATGTAAAAAAATATTCTTGTTTTATTGATATTCTCCCGTTATCTGTTGTGTAAATTAATCCATTGATACATATGTTTTGGCCTATTTTCAGGTTGTAAATTTGTTAGCATGATGAAGGATATTAATAAAAAGTATCCCGCTTAATCTAAAAAAAAGAGTAGCGGATTTTTGTTCGTATCTAACGTACGTTTATTTATCTTGTAGGAAGTGACTATATTGCAGAAGAGAACCAATCAACCAGTAGTAGCAGTGGAGGAGCGCCACCTAGAGGTTAGTAATTTTTTTAGTTATGTGAAAAATACTCACGTGTGCGCATACACTGTGTTAATAAATTTGTGAGTTTTTACTGTTTACTAAGCAAATATTTTGAGAGTCATCATTTCCTCTCACGACCACTTGGGTGTTGCTGGCACATATTTGTTTACTTCTGTGATAAATGTCGATCCAGGTTTCTGGATAGTACACCAGAAAAATGTCATTTTAGATTCATTCATGAAATGTTTTTAGGGAAGCTAAATGTATATAATCACCCTTTTAATATTAAACCCGTGTATAGGAACTTAATGGTGAGGATTAACATGCTCATATGTATGCAGAATTGTTCTGGAGAAAAAAATAAAAATTGGGAGGGATTCGAACTAGAAACGTTGCTTTTCGAGCAGATGCCCTTTAAATTAAACAATTAAGTCATAGTATTTATTGAATGCCCCAGGTGTCAGTCTTCGTTTCTTTCAGCAATAAAGACTGAATTTAATACCACGGTTATTTTATTTAGTTTTGAAATCAGGAATGTGCCGATTGTTAAATTCTGATTTGTACCAGTTCTTCATCTGCTTATTGGTCGGCTATAATAATAAAATTGATAATCATTTTTATAAACAAATATAGATCAATAGTCGTACTTGCCATTACTATGTTCTCTTATCTTGTTATTTTCAGTGGCTACTGAAATTGTAAAACAAAAAACAATGCAAACAAAGTAGTGCAGAGGCACATAGATAAATATTATTCAGATGACTTGAATAAATATACTAACCGGAACAACAAAAGGAATGTTGATGACCGAATTCAGCGTTCCGGCTAAGCTCTTCTCTATGATTTATTAAAGATCGTTAAACCCAAAATGATTATAACCGTGGACATAACATGGAAAATAAAAAAGTTCTAAATAACAATGAAAAGATTCAATATAACAATTAGAAATCAATTTCCAAATAACAATAAGAAAATAGAGGTGTTATATAACAATGATAGTAAAAACGTTCTATGCGGTAGAGAGACTGGAGTAAAATACTACAACAGCGATACAATCAACAAAAGTTTGAATAACGAAAAGAAACGGGGGTGGTTGATTGAAAGCTGGTCTTCTGCCCCATTTGTCATATGTAAAACTATCAATATAATCCTAAGTTACACAACGGGAAAATGTGCAACTCTGGGATTAGAGGATACTTGGAGATACAGTGGAGTGTTAATTTAATACAAGTGCTTATTTTGTAACACTCTATTGAGTAGGTAAGTATTAGATCAGAGGACGAAAACAAAGATGTGGAGAACATTTGCAATTACTGATGTAGGGTAACCACTTTGGGAGAAAAATATATTGAATTCACAAGTACATAAGTTACTTCTATCATCAAATAATTAATTAAATCGAAGGAAATGCGAGTGAAAAATGAAATGTAGAGTATGTAGATTTAGTGTGAGTCTGTGGGTTTCTAGTGAACGGCAATGGTTAAGTAATAGTTTTGATAGTGATGGCTATGCCTAGAAAAGAAACAACTAACTTAGAAACTTGTACGATAAGAATCAAGGAAGAATGAACATTGAAAATGTACTTATATTCGTTGGTAAAACAGTAGCCCAAGAGTTGGTGGTGGGTGGTGATGACTAGCTGCCTTCCCTCTAATCTTCCACTGCTAAATTAGGGACGGTTAGTGCATACAGCCTTTGTGTAGCTCTCCGAGAAATTCAAAACCAACAACCAACCTGTTTCTAGGAGAGGGAATTGATCAACCAGACCTTGATAATTTCATCGAACAGTTGCAATCTCCCTTTATCATCTTGGAAATATTAAATTATTACAATATTTACTTTAGGGTAGTGGATATATAGATGGGAGGATTAGCACAGATAGCCCATCGTGTAGTTTTGTGCTTAACAACAAACAAGCAAACAAACAATGGGAAAGATCAATCCAATGAGTGCTAGCTCTCGTATCCCAACCTCTCCCTTTTCAGTACTGGAGAACTTACCATTTTCCATTCCCTGTGTCAGAAGTTTACTGCATAAATCTGTTCACCTTCTCTTCTTCCTTTTTTTTCCGTGAAAAGTAGACGGTAATTCCCATCTTTCTAATAGTGAATGGCTTCATTTACTTTCACCATACTTGTGTGCCATGATGGAAGCTGGAGAAGGCCAACTGACCCTTGTTCACAAATCTCTAAGAGCTTGATCCTTTCATTGTTAACCTCTCATCTATTAACAACTGTGTGGAGGCAATAACTGATCGCATTATCCAGACAACTTTCCTTACTTATCCTAAAACTTTCACATGCTTTCCATGACATCCTCGTGCATGGTGGAAACGTGATTTACAAAGGGCATGGAGAGCTTAGAAATGAGCGTGGGATATCTTCAACAAATATTTCACTTTTACTATCTACTCAGCCTTTTATAAGGCTCGTATCCATGTCTGAAAAATCATATGTTAAAGTCAGAAGAAATGATGTATTAAATTCACTTCAAGTATTTCTTCCACCGCAAGTTCCAAGGTCGTTTTGGACAAGATTTGAAAAGTAAATGGAAAATATACATCTTATCCTCTCTCAAACTTGCGACCTAGTGACTGAGAAGTTCTTGAAGTACAGACTATTGCTAACACCCCTTGGAGAATGTTTACTCCCCACTCAAGCATCTCCACCTGTTCCTTGCTTTCTTGGCCATCTTGGCAATACATCATTTAGAATTAATGCATCCAATTCGAAATGATACACTATCTCTCTCTTGCCTCTTTCGATCTTATGGTTCTTTTTTACTTGGATTTGGCAGGAAAAGGACTTTCCGGTTATACAACTCCCTTTTTCAAAGCCCAGGAAGGATTGCAAGATTCTTTAATTGTATGCCTCTTGCTTTCACTAGTTTTTTTATATAACCTTCTGGAGAGGATGGTTAATGCACATCCTGTTTGGTGCTTTGAATCAAATAACATCATCTCTGACACTCATTGTGTTTTATGTTTTCAACAATGTTTTGTAGACCATTGTGTTCAACTAGAAACGTCGATTACTGAAGCATTTCACAAGAAGGAGCATCTTGCTTCTATCTTATTTTATCTTGAGAAGGCTTAAGACACCATATGGATTTTGTGTTTGTTTGAAGTTAAGCACAAAGCTACACAATTGGCTATCTGAGATCTGCCCACCACGGGTATCGAAACCCGGTTTATAGTATTGTAAGTCTACAGACATACCGCTGTGCCACTGGGGTCACACCATATGGAGGTTCAGTATATTACAGAACTTCCATTCATACATGATGCATGGCCATGTACTTTTTATTATCCATAATTTATTAGCAGAAAGGGCATTTTGGGTCCATGTGGGAGCAACAATATCCTGATCCTTCCCTCAGAAGCTCAGAGCACCTCAGAGTTGTGTCTTTAGTCTCATGTTATGACACTGAACAACTCCCTTTTACAGCTGTAAACACCCTCCCTGTAAAATATTTTCAGATTTCCTGTTGGTTATTGAATATGGGATACATATTCAGCTATAAATTTCCCTCGCTGAGTTGATTGAGTGAACAACTGGAAATGATTTAAAATTTTCATCATTTAAAACTATTTGCATGCATTTATACCAACAGTGAGGATTACACTCTGATCCCAGCTTCATCAGAGAAGTGCACAAATTCCAGTTGTGACTGATACAAAGCTGCTAGGACTTCCTTTTGATAATATACTGACTTTTATTTTACATATAAAGCAGCTTAAAGTCAAGTTTGCAAGGTTACTGAACATCCTCTTTTCTAACTCTTGGGAGTTGGATAGTTGTTTTATGCCCAAAATCTATCTTGTTCTCATTCGATCTGAACTGGACTGACGGGTCTCTGGTCTGTGAATATGTTGGACACTGTGTATCATTAGAAGCTTTGGCTCTATATAGGGTCTTTCTGCGCTCCTCCAGTCCAGAGTTTGTACTCAGAGTTCTATTAATATTTTCTTTATCTCAGATGTTTGCAGTATGCCACATAGCTCTAATCACTGCCACAGCATCCCACTTGGTAATATATATTCATAGATCTATGGACTCTGCTTTTTGCAGATAGATGATCTAATATTCCAACTTTTGGCCTTTATATCTAGGCAAAGTTCACTATGCCGTGTCTGAAATTGGGCAATATTGCTGAATTGAATGACCAGCACATCCTACCTAGGCTGTTACAATCCTCCTTTGTGATCTTTCTTTCGGTTTTTCTGAAGAAGTCAGTTACTATTTCATCGAAGTCAGACTTGTTTCCAATGAACAGCCTTTGAGCATTCTCCTATTCCCATTTTCACAGATGGCTCGAAAGTAAGTGACTTTGTAGTCCCTACCATGGCTTACTGCAGCTCTGTAGTTACTCACATGATCTCCTCTACAGACTGTGTGTTCACTGCTGGGTTGTATGCAAACTCGCTTGCTCTGGACTACATAGAAGCTAAGAAACATAGTAATTTTACCATATATATATATACCAACTCACTTAACTCTCCCACCCAGTTCTTTTGGATATGCAAAAAAGGCTGACCCAGCTATCTATCTCTATCCCCTTTTTTGGGTTCTTGGCCATGTCAGAATTTGAGAAACCGAACTCACCGACACAGCAAATTGATCTCCACCAGTGACATTAACCTTGTCTATTCCTTGTTTAGATTTCAATATAGTCATCACGGCAAAGCTTCATGCTAGTTGGTGGATGATATGTGGTGAACAACGTTTGGATAAGCTTTTTGACATAAAACCTACTATCAATGATTGACCATCTAATTTATGCAAAGAACTGAAACGAGGAAGTTGTCTTCACAAGGTTGTGCTTTGGACATTCAAGTAACCATTATTCAGATTTTGCTTTCCTGCTGTCACTTCGATAATAACCCGTCCAACAAACATCCTCGCCCTTTCAGCCGTGGGGGCGTTATAATGTGACGGTCAATCCCACTATTCGTTGGTAAATGAGTAGCCCAAGAGTTGGCGGTAGGTGGCGATAACTAGCTGCCTTCCCTCTAG